TTTCCTAAATACAGCATACTGATGGGCTTTGTTTTTTTATCCAGTTTGCCAGTCTGTGTCTTTTGATTGGTGCATTTAGCCCATTTATATTTAGGGTTAAGATTGTTATGTGTGAATTCGATACTGCCATTTTGATGCTAGCTGGCTGTTTTGCTTGTTAGTTGATGTAGATTCTTCATTATGTTGATGCTCTTTAGCATTTAGTGTGATTTTGGAATGGCTGGTACTGGTTGGTTTTTTTTATGTGTAGTGCCTCTTTTAGGAGCTCTTGTAAAGCAGGCCTGGTGGTGACAAACTCTCTGAGTACTTGCTTGTTTGCAAAGGATTTTATTTTTCATTCACTTACGAAGCTCTGTTTGGCTGGATGTGAAATTCTGGGTTGAAAGTTCTTTTCTTTAAGGATGTTGAATATTGGCCCCCACTCTCTTCTTGCTTGTAGAGTTTCTGCCGAGTGATCTGCTGTGAGTCTGATGGGCTTCCCTTTGTGGGTGACCCAACGTTTCTCTCTGGCTGTCCTTAGTATTTTCTCCTTTATTTCAACCTTGTTGAATCTGACGAATAGTGCTTTGGGGTTGCTCTTCTTGCAGAATATCTTTGTGGTGTTCTCTGTATTTCCTGCATTTGAGTGTTGGCCTACCTTGCTAGGTGGGGGAAATTTTCCTGGATAATATCCTGAGGAGTATTTTCCAGCTTGGATTCATTCTCTTCGTTACATTCTGGTACACCTATCAAACGTAGGTTAGGTCTCTTCACATAGTCCCATAGTTTTTGGAGACTTTGTTCATTCCTTTTTGCGCCTTTTTCTGTAATCTTGGTTTCTCGTTTTATTTCATTGAGTTGATCTTCGACTTCTGATACTTTTTCTTCTGCTTGGTCAATTCGGTTGTTGAAACTTGTGCATGCTTCACGAAGTTCTCGTATTGTGTTTTTCAGCTCCTTCAATTCATTCATATTCCTAAGTTATCCATTCTTGTTATCATTTCCTCGAATCTTTTTTCAAATCTTTTTTCTAGGTTCTTAGTTTCTTTGCATTGATTTAAAACATGTTCTTTTAGCTCACAAAAGTTTCTCATTATCCACCTTCTGAAGTCTAATTCTGTCATTTCATCACAGTCATTCTCCGTCCAGCTTTGTTCCCTTGCTGTTGAGGAGTTTTGGTCCTTTCTAGGAGGCGAGGTGTTCTGGTTTCGGGTGTTTTCCTCCTTTTTGCACTGGTTTCTTTTCATCTTTGTGGATTTATCCACCTGTTGTCTGAGTCATTGCTGACTTTTCGATTGGGTCTCTGAGTGGACACCCAGCTTGTTGATGCTGAAGTATTTCTGTTACTTGGTTTTCCTTCTACCAGTCTAGCCCCTCCACTGTACGACTGTTGAGGTCCACTCCAGGCCCTGCTTGTCTGTGGTGCACCTATAGCGGCCGCGGAACAGTGAGAGATGCTACCAGTTTCTTTTTCTGCTATCTTTGTCCCAGAATGATGCCTGCCAAATGTCAGTCTTCTGGATATAGAGGGGTCAGGGAGCTGCTTGAGGAGACAGTCTGTACTTTATAGGAGCTCCAGTGCTGATCTGTGAGCTCTGTTGTTCATTCAGGGCTGTTTGGCTGCTACATTTAATTCTGCTGCAGCAGAACTCATAAAAAAAAACCCTTTTTCTCAGATGCTCTGTCTCGGGGGTGTTGGCGTTTTCTTTATGAGTGTTTGTTGTGCTGTCCTGCCCAGCTAGGAGGCAATCTAGTCACTATTTGCCTGCCAAGGCTCCACCCTGCTGGTGTGAGGTCCGCCCTGTTGCTGCAGGCTCTGCCCTGCTGCTGTGGTCTCTGCCCTGCTGCCATGGGCTACGCCCTGTGGTGGAGTCTCTCTGTTGTGGTGGGTTGCCTCAGTAATGGCAAACGCCCCTCCCTCACCGAGCTGCACCATTCTAGGTTCAGCTGTGCCAGCAGTGAAACTCTCCACCCGGAGCGTTTGGAATTGCCATTTTGTTTGTCCCACTGCCCTGGCCCAAATGCCGTTTTTCTGGTATCTCCTGGCCTGGCTCACTGTCCAAGTCCCGTTCAATCAGATGGATATGCCAATCTGCCCTCTCAAGTCTCAGATTGCTGGTTCAACAGGGCACCCGGACCATTGCACTTTGTGTGGAGCACTGTGGAGCACCGCTGCGCTGCAGCGTGGTTCGCTGGCTGTGCCGTTCGCTGGCTTCACCAGCTGCACCAGCCAAAACCGCTGCACTGGCGTCCCACATCTCTTTTATACCTGGGGATTTCCCCGTTCTGTGGGCCACAAAGATCCGTCTGGAAATGCGGCCCTGACTCACCCTCCATGCGTTCACCGAGAGCTTCAATCCTGGGTTGTTCTCACCGTGCCATCTTGAGTCGGTCTCCTCAGTTATGTTTTCAAATCAGTCAAGGTTAAGGTCAATTCTGAGGCTTAACTGAGTTTGTCTGCTCAGGGATTCTTCAGGCCTGGTGTCCATTTTAATTTACTTTAGTAACCTTTACACATAAAGAAACAAGAAATTCTAAAGCTTTTCTCTGGCTTACAGGGAAAAATATCCAGTCAGAAGATAAATGCATCAATTTACAATGTGACAGTTACTAAGTTTACACAAACATTTATATTGCAGTCTTTCATAGGACAAAGCTACAATTTCTGATATTTAGGTGTCTTAGAAGAGCTTTCTTTCTGTAGATGACATTACTAGAATTTTATATAATGGAACACAAGATAGGACTTTACATTTTTAAATAATATCTGCACTTCATCAGGAGAGTAATTCTGATACTTTTGTGAATTTTATCAATTTACTATTTTATAAGAGCCAGATTTTAGGATTTCAGCTGTTGGGGAAGAGGAGAAATTTTCAATTTCATTTTTCTGAGACACTTTTTACTAGGATTTATTAATAAAAAGGAATTTCAAGTGTAAGTACCAAGTATGGACTTGAGAAGTTTAAAACTTACATTATAAAAAAGAAAAGGGCATACACTTTCTTTTCTTTCTTTCTTTTCTTCTTCTTTCTTTCTTTCTCTCTCTCTTTCTTTCTTTCTTTCTTTTTCTTTCTTTCTCTCTTTCTCTCTTTCTTTTCTTTCTTTTCCATCCTGGAAGCAGTGCTCCACTAAATCTCCTAAAATTACAGTGTTAATTACTAATAGCTGCATTGCACAGCTACTTTCATGGGTCCCCAGTGGCTATATTCATGGCCATTTACTGTCACTAACCTACCTTTGTGATATCATTGTTACCAATTTTCACACTTCTCTTCTTCAGGTACTCTATACCAGTGATTCTCAATACAGGCTTCCTTTAAGTGTCATTTGGGAGAGGGATGTCTCAGAAAATAGGGATGTTCAAATTCCACCCCTGGAGATCCTGATTTAGTCTGTTGGACATTATAATTGTTTTTAAAAAGCACCCTTGTGATTCACATGTGTAGGCAAGGTAGAGAATTATTATTCTGTCTCATTCCTTATAGCTGAAATAACTTCATTTCAATTTTATCTCTCAAAATCTTACTCTTCCTTTAAGATTCAGTAAAAGTGCCATCACCCCTTCATTTTTCTCCCAAGGAAAGACACTCTCTGCCCTCCACTTAGACCACAGGTAGTGCAGTTGGCAAGTTAATTATAGACCAAGTTGATGATGTCGTACTAGCATCACTGACTTTCCTATAGCTTTTCTTATTGTATGTATTCTATTTTTAGTCCCATTTCTGACCTGCCCTCTCTGTCAGAGTTTGCAGAACTTTGAGGGGCACAAGAAGGGAGTTCTCCCAGACAGGCCATGCCATCTGTGGCTTAAGGGATTTAGACCACAGATAATATATTTGGTGTGTAAATTATAATGTGTGTTGATGCCACACTGTCCTCATTGACATTTCTATAGCCTCTCTTATTTATGTATTCTCGTTTTAGTCCTATTTCCCAACCCCCTACAGGCAGGTACCCATTCTGATGCATTTAATGTGTGCTATTTTATTTTTTTAATACAGGTATTGTTTTCGGCACAAATATATTTATTCAGTAAATATTTTTATTTAGCATAGTGAACAGTTATTTATCACAAGTATATACTTAATTCTCACAAAGTGAGCACCATCCATACAACCACTACTCTTCTTATGAAATAGAAGTTTACCAGCAGTGTCAAACCCTCTTGGACCCTTTCCAGTCACCTTTTTCCTTCTTGTTTCACAAAAGAATCTTCACAGATTACTTTTGTCTGTTTTTAACTTTATATAAGTGTAACAGTTCAAGATGTAAGCAGTAGTGTCTGAGTTCTTGAGCTAAATACTATGTTTTTGAGTTCATCCATGGCGTTGCCTATAGTAGGAATTTCTTCCTGTTTATTGTTGTATATTACTTCATAGTATTAACATGCAATATGTCTCCATTCTACTTGTAATGGGAATTTGAGTTTCCAGGTTTGCTACAAGTAATGCTATTATGACCACTTTGTGCATGCCCTTTTGTGTATATATGTGTGTTTCATGGGGAAATATACTTAGGAGTAGAATTACTAGATCAGGATTTGGTTATGATTAACTTTAGTAGTTATGTCAGAGAGTATTACACAGTTTTTAGATTTGTTCTCCTACCAGCAGTGTATTAGAGTTCCAATAGTAGCACATTCCCCTAAAAATATTTGTATTAGTCTTTTGTTTTAGCCATTAATAGTGGATGTTTAGTGATATCTATAAGGTTTTTTCCTTGTATCCACTTTCATCCCTGAATCTGATAATTCCTCATATCTGGTGATATTTGAATTATTTGCTTATCCAGAGCATTTTGTGAGTTCACGGTAAGAGTTAAGCAAATCATTTCAACGTCACCAGATACCAAACCGTTGATGGCTTGGTTTCAGCTTCCTTTCTAAAGGCATTTTCTAATCTGTTCTGCTAAGCTACAAGATGACAGCTGCAGAGACTTCACAGAAAATTTTAAAAATAGATCTTGCATTCAGAGATGGCTTGGAAGAGGGAGAATCTGGTAATGTAATTGATGGCATTTGAAAAAATAGAGGCAACTTTTCTTCCACTGCAGCATGAAGGAAGCTGGGTTTTAGGAGCATTAGCACTTGCTAGTCTCTGTAGAAGTGATATGTTTGCAATTTAGGGATGGTTTGGAGAATAGATGTGTAATTGCTACATCAGTTATTGTACTGTGCACGTTACTTAAATATCTCTGGGGTAAGAGAAATGAACAATTAATTAGATTATAAGAAGATGAAGGGAAAAATGTTCTTTATGTTTATATTGTTAGTGCTATTTTTGTTAAGTGTTGCCCTGCAAACACGGGGGCTTTTTATTTATTGATCCATGGCTTTCGATTTATAGATCCTTTGTAATTAAAAAGAGATGTGGAGATTTGAGGGTAAGAGTGAGAAGCGGACCCTGCCCACCAGCAAACCCTTTAGCATTTCAATATGTGGCAAATTTTCTAAGAACAACCACTTAATGGGTTAAGTTTGTGCTTCAGTACAGTGGAAGGATACCTTTTACTGAACCTCTTTTGCTTTTCAAAAACCAAAAGTACAGCTTCGGTACAGAGGAAAGGATACCTTTTCCTGACCTCTTTTGGTTCTCAAAAAAGTGATTTCATTCTTTTTTTCTTTCCTTCTCCCCTCCTCCCTCAATTTTATTTATTAAATATACTTTTATTCAGGAGTTCAGGATGCTGCATTTCATAGAAAAAGTACAGGGTACTTTTTTTTTCCTCCAAACTCTGCCGGACCTGATTCTGCTCAGGGTTCTTAAACAGAAATGTTTAAGAAATGTTCTAAAGAACAGAAATGTTCTAAAGATTGTATGAACTAACTCAAATATTTACAGAACTGAAACTAAATATTTGCTACTTGGTGCAGTTGTGAAATTGTTTTTTAAGATGCATTGTGTTGTTTGTTGGATCCTGAAACTGAGTTAAAATTTGACCAGTAATATGGTTTATTTCTTTGTTCCTCTGAGGCATAATTCCTAATATTGTTTTTCCAACTAGAAATCTGAAGGGTATTGTGTTCAGTGTGTACTTTAAGAGTGATATGAATTTGCAGGAGTCAGGACACACCATAACAAAGACAGAAGAGAAATAAGTGAGTAAGAGAGAGAAATGAAACAAGATGCATGCGGGAATATTGTTGTAAGGCTTTTCCATAGTTCAGCTAAAAACGAGGTTCTATGTCCCATGGCCACAAAAATTCAGGCTTGCAGATAGTTTAAAGGGTTAGCGAAGCAGGGTATTATTGGGTGAAAAGGGCGGGGAAACAAGTACTCTCGCAAGGTCAGAGGCCCTCTGCTAGAGCGCTTTCCACCTGGCAGTTTGAATCCCAGGTTCCACACAGGAGAAAGAGGGGCCAGGCTCAGGCTCATTCCTGCTGCAAACCTTGTGAACTTCCCAAGGCTCCACCTCAGTGGGCAGGCTGGTTGGGAGTTTCTCTAGGGACCGCTTCCCACCTGGCTGTCTCAGTATTAGTCGGAGGAGCTAGAGATGTAAAAAAGCAGAAGAGTACTAGGGACATTTAGAAGGTTTAGTAAGAGAGGCAAATGGGAGATTTAGGGGAAATTTTAAGGGGAGAGTTACATATTAGCTTAGTAAGAATGAAAAAGAATTATGGAAGTCTTAGTATTCTGAACCTTTAAGACAATTTTGCATTAGTGTGGAACCAGAAAGAATAAAGGTTGATATTTTTATATGAGCAAAAATCCAAACAATGTTTACTGCTTAATCCAATCTTACCCATCTTTTTCTCTGTCTAGAATCTAAAAGCTGAAGCTCCTTGTTATTCTTGGAGATGTATGTTAAATGAAAGAAAGTTGGCAGGGACTTTTAAAATACTACAATTTATATTCAGTAAAATTCACTCTTTTGGTGTACATTTCTATGAGTTTTGATAAACATATATTCATGTAATACCATCAGAGTCAAGCTATCGAGCCATACCCACCCACTCCGGATTCCCTCATGCTCCTGTGTAGAATGTCTCTTCCTCTACCCCCAGCCCTTGGCAACCACTGATTTGTTTTTTGTTCTTGCACTTTGGCTTTTCCAGAATGTCATATCAGCAGAATCCTGCAGTAGGTAAATGTAGAATCTGACTTTATTCACTTAGCAATAATACATTTGCAAGTCATCTTTATTATAGTATGTGTCATTTGTCAAAGAAAAACAAGTCTGAGCTTAGATAGGGAGAAACTTTATTCAAAGGGACTGTTGAAATAGAAGTAACATTGATTTGGAAAATATATTAATGGTGTGGGAGAGAGCAGGGGAAAAGGTCTAAGGATTTCAACAGGAAATGGTGTTTTGTAGTCAGGGTAAGGCAGGATGTTTTCTTGCAAGTCTGTGCTTTGGGGCTTGTTAGGCAAACTTGCAGGCAAACCCATTTGGGGTCTGTCAGGAGGAGAATAACTTGACAAAGGTTTGGCCAGCTCACACACAGTAAGAAGTGGGCAATTGTGAATGTGTGATTCAATTTTTTTTTATTAGGGCTGAAGAATAGTTGTTTACCTCTTCACCAGCTGAAGCATATTTCAGTTGTTGCTAGTTTTTCTGATAATGAATGAAGCAGATGTAAATACTCCTTGCAGGTTTTTGGGTAAACACAAGTTTTTACGCCCCTTGTTTAAATACCTAGGGATAGGATGGCCAGGGCATGTGGTGCATTTACATTTATCATAATGAACTGCTTAACTCTTTTCCAGAGTGCCTATAACATTTTGTATTTTCAGTCATGATGCATGAAAATTCCAGTTGAATCCTGTCCATTCTGGCACTGCTATAAATAAATAACCTGAGACCGAGTAATCTGTAAAGAAAAGAGGCTCACCATTCCACAGGCTGGGCAGGAAACATGATTCTGGCATCTGCTCAGCTTCTAGAGAGGCCTCAGGAAACTTAACAATCATGGCAGAAAACAAAGGGGGAGTCTACACTTTGCTTGGCCAGAGTGAGAAGAAGAGAGGGAGCGGGGGAGGATACCACACAGTTTTCAACAACCAGATCTCAAGAGGACTCACTCTTACTGCGACACAGTACCAAGAGGGAAATCTGCCCCCATGATGCCATCACCTCCCACCGGACCCAGCTCCAACACTGGAGATTACAATTCAACATAAGGTTTGGGTGGGGACAGAGATCCAAACTATATCACATCCCTTCCTCACCAGCAGTTGGTTTTGTTTCTTTTTTGTTTTGTTTTGTTTCCCACTCTAATAAGCATGTAGTAGTCATTCATCTTTTAATTTGTATTTCTCAAATGACTGGTTATTTCAAGCATGTTTTTATGCACTTATTTGCCATTCATATCTTTAATCAAGTGTATCTCCAAATAATTGGGTCCATTTTTAATTTAGTGTTCTTATTGTTGAGTTTTGAGTTCTTAATATATTCTAGATACAATTCACTTTTTAGAAAGATGTTTTTCTGCCTTTGCTTGTCTTTTCCAGCATTACATGTTCAGAAAATACTACCCCTTACATGCCTGATTACTTTCCACTTCTGTCAAATGTCAAGTGATCATACATGTTTGGATTCGTTTCTGAAATCTTTTTTCTATTCCATTGATTTATGTGTCTGTTCTTTTGTCAATATCATACTGTCTTTGTTTCTATTGCTTTGTAAATTATGAACACAGGTTCTTTGATTTCCAAATTTGGCCATTTTTTTCTTCAAAATTGTTTGGCTATTCTAGTTCTTCGCTTTTCCGTCTAATTTTAAGATTACTTTGCTTGTTTCTACAAAAAGAAATACATACTGCAATGTTTATCAAGATCTGCTGAATCTCTAAACCTTTTTGGATATAATTGACATACAGAATATTGCATATTACAGTCTATGAATATCTTATGTCCCTCTGTTGATTCAAGTCTGCTTTGATTTCTTTGTCCCTTTGGTTTGTAGCTTTCATCATACTGATCCTAAACATTTTGATATATTTATAATAGTCGTTCATGTTATTATATATGGCATTGTTTTTATACTTAAATTTCCACTTCATAATTACAAATATATGGAAATATATTTTTATATATTAACATAACTAATCCTGTAACTTTGCCAAATTCATTTGTTTTGGTAGCAGTTTGGTATATTCCTTAGAATTTTAAATGCAGCCAATGATGTTGTCTGTGAATAGCAACAGTTTTATTTCTTTCCAACTTCTATGACATTTCTTTCTTTGTTCTTATTTTTTTTGCCCCTAATAGGACTCCAGCAAAATGTTAAATTGGATTGGTTAGAGAGAGCAGACATCTTTGCCTTATTCCTTGTCACTGGAATTCATTCCTTTATCAACTTTTGTGCTAGCTGTAGATTTTCTGTAGATGCCCTTTATCAAGTTGAAGAAGGTTCTTCAATATCTAATTTGTTAGATGAATATTAAGTTTTTAACATGCATTTATTCAGATACTCATATGTTGTACCTTTCTCATTCTATTAATATGGTGAATTACACTGATTCATTTTCTGTTTTCCTTGTTGCTTCTAACCAGCTGTTTTACTACGGGACTAAATCTGGATTGTGTATGTTTGTTTTTCATCCCAATTTCTACTTTTTCCAATAACTGGAAGATTCCCTGATGATGGGGAGAATTTGATTTTTGTCTCTATCCCTCTTTGGGCCATTTTTCTTATTTTTGATCCAAGACCTTTTGTGAGAGGAGTTGGCAATAGGAGAGTTGAAGTACAACTAAGCTTGTGTTGATTGTATGATACATTTTCTCCCTATGATCTTCCTGAGATTGAGATTCTAATATTTGTATTTTACAGGTAGAACTCTGCAGAGAAAATGCCTAGCACTTATATCTCCGGTAACTCCTATCAAGGTTTATTGTTGCTTGTTCATCATTGCAGTTCTGACTACAAGTGTGGTTGCACTTTCTATTGTTTTGTCAGGTAAGTTATTTGTTCTACAAACTGTACAATGTTATTTACATGTTTATGTTGCCAATAAATATTTATTAAGCTCCATTATTTGCCTGTCACTGTGTGAAATGCTTGAATTACATCAGCAAACAAAACACGCACAAAAGAATCCCTGCTCTTCAGGGACTTATATTCCAGCAGAAAAACACAAGTAATAATAAATAAGGGTGGAGGTCTAACAGGTTGCAATAGGTTGACAAAGCCTCCTTGGAAGATGATATTTCAGCAACCTTTTGAAAGAGATGTAGGAACCATGTGGCTACCTGGGGAACCTATTCTAAACAGAGAACATGTGGACCAAAAGCCTAAAGGAGGACTCTTCCTGGCTTGTTTGAGGAACAGCAAGGGGACTTCTGTAGGTAAAGCAGAGTGAGGATGAAGAAGAAGAGTGATACCATGGGCATTAGAAATGGAGGAACCTTGAGGATCAGTTAAAGACTTTTACCTTCAGTGTAATAGGGAGCCTTGGATGAGGAAAAGTGTATGAGAGGAATGTCGTGATGTGACTTCCATTGTAGAATAATCACTTGATTGCTGGATTAGGACTAGGTAGGGGAGGGTGGTCAGATTCTGGATATTTTGAAAGCTGGGCCAACAGTATTTTATATCAAATTGGATAAAAAGTCTTAAAAAGAGAAAAGTAAAAGGTAAGTCTTTTTTCTTTTGAGCCTTGGCAACAATGCACTTGCCATTCATTGATATGAGAAAGCTATGGGTATAGGAATTTCACTTACGGAGCTATTTCCTGACAAATTCCTATAAGAATTGTCATTTTTATTAAAAATAAAGTAATATCTCTACTTGAAATGTTTTCAGACAAACCATCTGGCCTTAAGAACTGGTGTCTTCTACTTAAGCAGATTGAGAATGCACGAAAGCACTGTATACATAAAAGAACTATATACATTAAAAAAAACCCTCATCTCTTGTATATAGAGGCAGTAGGTTCTCAAATGGCTTCGTCAAGAGGAAGGAAGGCTAATATGAGGGAGGATATGGAAAAATCATCTACACGGCCTTGTGAAGTACAGTACTATGGAAGTCGATGCTATAGAAATTGATTTCCTTGAAACTGTAATGTCAGTGTAAACTTCAGAAAGTAAAGGGTGCAGGTATCCAGCTGAAAACCACTGGACTGATGACTTTGTGCTTAGGATAAGGCTCTATGTGATGAGTTAGGAAAACAACAATCACATGTGTACACTTCAAAATTGGCCTCAGGAAGGTAAGCAGAAAAATAGATAAAAGGGATGAGAAAATTTATTTATTATGTTTCATTGTGATTGTCTCGGTTTTAGCAAGAGAAGAAAAGCCAGTGATAGAGTCACCTAAGTATGCTGCTTGCCCAAAAAGCTGGATTGGATTTGGGAGTAAATGTTTTTATTTTTCTGAAGACACAAGAAATTGGACTTTCAGTCAAGTCTTCTGTGTCTCATTAGAAGCCAGCCTTGCTCAGTTTGCAACTATGGAAGAACTGGTAAGAGATACTTTTGAATCATGTTTTCTGTCAAATAACTTAGGCCCCTGAGGCAGGTCAGCTGCATAGGGTTAAAGCTGAAATACGAGGAAAGATCCCATTCCAGGGGCATGAGATGTGTTTTCACATCCAACATTTGTTGAGGATGTGTTCTCTGCCTGGAACCCTGTGAGATATTTTAGATATATTTTCTCATGTAATTCTCATGGTGAACCTGCAAGATGAGTTGTATTGTTCTCATTCTATTAATAATTAACATAATTAAATAATTTGTCATCTAGATTAAGACATATAGGGTATTGAAAGTGAGCATTAATATATTGGTGGAATGACAAGCTTAAACTGGGAATTTCCCAATCAAACTGGGATATATGCTCACTTTAAATAAAGTAATTTAGGATCAGGGACATTAAATGACTTAAATTGAGAATTGGGAATTAGTCTTACTCCAGAGCATATGCTGCTTAATTACACCACACTGCCAGTCAAAAAGAGAAGGGATAGGGAAGACAGACTCCAGAGTAATGTGGAAGAAAGGGACACATGGTATTACTTTCTGTTTTATTATAGAATTTCCTGAAAAGATACAAAGGCCCTTCTGACCACTGGATTGGCCTTAGAAGAGAATCATACCATCACATTTGGAGGTGGACAGACAACACAGAATATAATAACATGTATGTTTTGAGACTTATCTTTCTGCTCTGTTTATGTGTGGTTATGTGTGTGAGTTGTGTTTATGAGATGAGAAATGTATCATGGAAAGCTTACTGCAATATAAGGTAAGAAATCTAAACCCTTTTTATACTCTTCTGTTTATTAATTGTGTCTTTGGGAAAGCTTTACTTAACTGTGATTTCAGTAACATAACAATGACATTTGACACAATTTTACACTTTAATTCACTGATTTAAAACTGCTGAAATCACTACTTATAACTGATTTACAACAAGTGTTCTACAATTGTAGGACACCACTGAGGAGCTGATATCCACAAGGCTGTTAAGCCCACTCTTCCAGCTGTTGCATCCATTCACAATAGGAAAGCATCCAGGGGACTCAAGGGAATCTCTCACTCCTAAAGTTTTGTCACCAGAAGGAAACTAGTAACAGTTATTTGGACTGTGAACATTTCAATGGGGTATTTTGAATATAATCATCACATTGCAGCAGATAAAATATAGGAACCCAGTCATATCCATTAATCAAAGCTAAGCCTTTTTAGGAATCTACTGTTTTTTTGTTTGTTTTTACTTTCACACATTTATGAAACAGTTCAGGAGACTGGAAATCATCTTCACTGAAGACCACCAGTGGCAGCAGTTCATTTGGGTACAGCAGCAAGCATCAGTTAAATACCTATCAACATAGCTGGGCTTGGTATGGATGAATGATAAGCTTGTGATTTTCAAGCAAGGACCTTGAGAACATAAAAGACACTAAATACAGAAATGGTTTATATTACTATGAAGCAATATTAATGACAGGCTTTTGCTTTTCTCTTATTCACATTAAAATTTGGAGGGGTGCAGATAATGATAGGGGAGGAACAAATGCAGGTGTCTAACTTCCAAATATTCAATATTTTTGTGTTTGTTTTTAGGTTTCTTATCAGAGGAGTTGGAGAATGTGCCTACCTGAATGACAATGGAGTCAGTAGTGCCAGCATCTATACAGACAGAAAATGGATTTGTAGCAAGCCAAAGAGTTATGTCTACAGTTGCCAAATTAGAAACTCTTTACAGAATTTCCCTATAGATGTGTCATAACTTGTTATATATAATTAATGTATATAACACCTGGAAACACCTGGATATCCAGGCAGAAGACTGCCATAGGGGTGGATCCCTCTTGAAGAACCTCTACTAGGGCAATGCAGAGATCCCCCACTGGGATGCTACCTGGTAGAGCTGTAAAACAAGAGCCACCATCCTCTGAGTTCCTGGAAAGCCCACACCCACTAACTTTGGGACTGTCAAGACTCACCTAAATCAGTTGAAAGCTGATTTACTGAAAGCTACTCAGTTACAGAGGAGGGTATCCTCAGAAAGCTGTCTTTGTTTTAAAGTCTTCTTTTATATATAAAAGCTAAATTATGTCTACATGTGAGTAGGCTGTCAGTGTGACACAATTTGGTACTTCATTGATATAAAGAAACTTATCTTTGTCATTTTAATGCATAAGTGCATCAAAGTATGACTATATCTTAAAAGCATGTACTGTTATGTGACATTAGGACATCTGGACATTCTTTTGTCCTTGCAGGCATTACTACACTTCCTTAGCTGTAGACATCTTATGACCATAGGTCATTTTCTTTATCCAATTCACTGTTGATAGGCATCTACACTGATTCCATGTCTTGGCTATTGTGACTAGTACAGCAATAGACTTACATGGTTCAGCTTTTATGGTAACAAAGTTGGGAATTGTTCTTCAGTTGTCATGGACCCTCAGGTCATGTAACCTGAGCATGGCCAGGTGAACCAAGTATGCAACCACAGGGGAAACCTAATTGTTCAGAATGAGGTACAGAGGCTGAATTAAGAAGTGGGCACATGGTGGCAGGATCCAGGATCCAACTGGATGTAACTCTGGTCTCACTCCATGGCAGGATCCATTGAGAGCACACTTTCCAGCATCACCTCATTACAAGATCCAACCAGATGGTGTCATTACCCTATGCTTATAAAACCTGACCCAACTCCCATCTTGAAGAAGGATTGCTTTGGGAGCTTTGCCCAGTGTGCTTTTTACTTTCTGCAAGTGATGAACTCTTGCTAAATCCTCCCTGGCTGTGGTCATGGGGTTGACACTTGACAAGTGACTAACCTACCTATTGTGTGGGTAACATTTGGAACATATTTCTTTATTTTCTTTGACTCTTGGCATTGGTGTCTGTGCACCAGATAACACAGCTTCCTTTCCAGTCTTCACAGACAGGTCTCATACAGGAGACCACCTTTACCAACCAGTCCAGACGGAAGTTCTGGGTACCACGTATACTTTCATGGTAGTTCAAGTCACAATGTTTGTTCTTAAAATAGTCCTCAGGTATCTAGAGTATGTCAGATCCTTTCAGTGCTCTCAGACACATGAGATAAAATCCAGTTCCTCAGGTAGCAGCCAGAAAAGCTGGGGGGCTAGTTACTTGGTCTGTCTCCTTTGCTTTTCAGAGAGATGCTGGAAGCTGGGCTTTATCACTCTGCACTGAGCCAAAGTGGGGAGCAGTGAAAGTACCCACATGCTTATTAAAAACTGCCCTGAAAATATTTGAAGTAACAGGGCTATAACACTATTTAAAAAACAACTCTTGTTTTGTTTTGTGTAGCTCCAGGTGTTTAACAGATGCTGGGCCCTGTCAGCTCACCAAAACAGGGAAGTTAGAAACAGTTCCTCTCTTCAACCAAGGGGTTAATAAGAAAAAAAAGAAATCAATCCCTCTAGTAATACCTAGAGAAGTACCAGACAGGTATCACAACTTCTCTAGGTATCCACTCCTGAGGGACAGGCTGAGAGTTATTTCCCATCCACGTGGCATCATATGAGGACTGGGGGTTAATATCGCAGTGTGTGCAAGTTGTTTCCTGCCAGTTCTGATATGGATAGTTTCACACTTACCTAGGGTGCAGGAGTGGCTCATTAGTTTCTGGATTTCCAATGATGGAAATTTATCTGTGTGTTGCTGTTGAACTGATGTGTCCATGGTGAGGAAGGAGAGTTTAGACCTTTTTATTCTGCCATCTGGTGACTCTGACAGTTTCTTTTAATACTCTACTATCATACAATCTAGTTACTACATTTGTAGACATTTCTCTCACATAAATGACAACTTATATTTACACAAAAGCCTGTATATAAAATGTTCATAGCAGCCTTATTCATACTAGCTAGAATCTATAAAAACCATATGGCTCACAATGATTGAATAATTAAGTAAGCGCTGTTACAGGCATGCAATGGAATACTCAGCAATATAAAGGAATGGACTATTGATGCATACAAAACTTCCTCAAAGTACTTAGGCTAAGTTAGAAGAGCCAATTACCAAAGATTGCATTTTGTATGATTAAAGTTACATAACATTCTTGAAATGACAAAATTGTACAGATAGAGAATAAGGGTTATGGATAGGTGAGTGAAGAAGAAGGCATAGTATGGAGAAAAGGTGGTGTGGATCTCTGGTGATGGAAGAGTTTTGTTTCCTCATTGTATCCGTGGTCATTATCTTAGTTGTGATATTCTAGTGCAGTTTTTTAGGTATTACCTTTGGGGGACACTGAGTAAAGAAGACGTGGAATCTTTCTGTACTATTTCTTACAACTGCATGTGAATTACAACTAGCTCGAAATAAAAAGTTTAATTATAAAATAAAAACTATATTAGATGAAGCAAAAAATAGTTCATCCCTTTCATGCACACAGCGTCAGAGAGTATAACATAATTTGCAGGACCTAGTGCAGAATACAAATGTAGATCATCTTGTTAAAAAATTATTAATAATTTTTTAAAAGCATTAAACCACCTTTGGGGCCCTTTGAGCCCGAGGAACTGTGCTACCACACAGATTGCATGTTCATGTAGCTGGCCCTGCAAATGAAATGATTTTTACCTATGATTAAGTCAACATGGACTCTTTGGGCTCAGTGAATTTGCTTCTTCAGGAAGGTAATTTTTTCTTCTTTCTTTGCTAAGCTGTTTAACAGTAGTTGCTCTGCCTAATGGGCTTCATCTTCTCTCAGATCATTTTCACGATGCACTAGGATGAAGCACACCCTTTCTCCTAGTCTTGAGGAAACGTCAATATTCAGAATATTTAAACCCCAGAACTGAACATTCAGAACAGTCTTTGGCCAGTGTTCCACACTTGAGGGAAATGTCATTATCTGAGCCCTGAATAAAAAGATTGTAGATATTCTCCATATCAAAGCATCACCAGGAAGATTTTAGATGTTGAAGTTCATAATATTTCCTAAAGCAGGCATGAATTACTAGTAACTTAATAGGTATATTAACTGATGAAATTTTTTGGGCATCTTCAACTAAATCACAGATTTCATTCCTCAGAACAAACCAGCCAAGGAAAGTGCTATTATACTCCTTTATTCATATAGATCTTGAGGCTGAGAGAGCTTAATTAACATACTGTATTTGTGTAATCATAAATTACCATAAACTAGGGGTGCTATAGTCTGAATATTTGTGCCTTCCACTCCCAAATTCATTATGTTGAAATCCTAACTCCCAAGGTGATGGCATTAGGAGGTGAAACCTTTGGGAGGTGATTAGGTCATGAGGGTAGAACACTGATGAATGGGATTAGTGCCCTTACAAAAGGGGCCCACAAAATCCCCCTTGTTCCTTCTACCATATGAGGACACATGTAGAAGGTGCCATCAATGAATCAGAAAGTGGATTCTCACCAGGCACCAAATCTGCCGGCATTTTGATCTTTGACTTCCAGCCTCCTGAACTGAGAAATACATTTCTGTTGTTCATAAGTTACCCATTTTATGGTATTTTATTACAACCTAAATGAAATAAGACAAGTGGTTTAAAAACAACACAAATTGTGGGGCCCCAAGATGGCTGAGAGGAGGCAACACTGGAATCAGCTCCCAGTGAATGAGATGCAGAGGGCTAAAGGACTTCATGATTCCAAGCTAGGTGCCAGTTTTTTTTTGGTGGGACTGATAGGACATGAATATAATAGCCCAGGGAAGGAGCTGAAGCAGGGTGAGAGCCACCCAGAGAGGGCAAACCAAGACAGGGCAGGATGTGTCCCCACCTGGAACATGCAGCCAGCTTGGTGGATCAGGGACTTCACCCCCTTGGTGCTCCAATTCAGATCCTGTGCTTAACCTCATCCCTCTTGCAACCCAGTCCACAAGATCCCTGCCAGACTGAGGGGTGCCATGGGTTGTCGCATATCTGAGCAACAGCTCCTGCCTGGTGCTGCAAGTTGTTGGCATGGACCTGGGCAGAAGTTCGGACAAATGCCAGTGCGACAGACCCATCCCACAGAAAGAGGCAGAGTTGAAAGCAGGGAAACAGGCCATAAGGCCTGGCAGGTGCCATCCCCATAAAACTCAAACTGAAGCCCACGCACTAGACAGCTTGGCAGCAAATACACCAGTTTGTCCGTGAAGATGGAGCGTGGGGAAGGAAAGACACCATTGGGAAGGTAGGGCTAATCTCACCTGCAAACAGACTCCAGGGGAGGACCACCCACCCAGCAACCTGACTGAATCTGAGGCAGCCCAGCATTGCCTCTACAGGCCAAAAAAGATATAGCTCTAAACTTAACAAAGGACATCTACTCAGAGATTCCTCCCAAAATCATCAATTTCAAAGATCTAAGGGAGAAAAATCCATGAAGATGGGAAGAAACAAGCACAAAAAATGATGAAACCATCAGAGACCAGAACACCTCTTCGCCTCCCAGAGGTCACAACTCCTCACAATCAAGGGAACAAAACAAGACATAGAATAAATTTGACGAATTGACAGAAGCAGGTTTTAGAAGGTGAGTAATAACAAACTTCTCTGAGTTAAAAGACCATGTTCTAACCCAATGCAAAGAAACTAAGAACCTTGAAAAAAGGCTAGATGAAATGTTAACTAGAATAGCCAGCTTAGAGAGTAACGTAAATGACTTGATGGAGCTGAAACACAGCACGAAAACTTTGTGAGTCATACACAAGTTTTCAACAGCCAAATCAAGCAGAAGAAAGGGTATCATAGATAGAAGATCAAATCAATAAAACAAAATGAGAAGGAAAGATTAGAGAAAAAAGAGTAAAAAAATTGAACAAAGCATCCGAGAACTATGGGATTATGTGAAAAGACCTAATAATCTAAGCTTGATCAGCATACCTGAATGTGATGAGGAGAATGAATCCAAGTTGGAAAACACTCTTCAAGATTTTATCCAAGAGAACTTTTCCAACTTAACAAGGCAGGCCAACATTCAAATCCAGGAAATACAGAGAACACCACAAAGATATTCCTAAAAAGAACAACCCCAAGGCACATAATTATCAGATACACCAGGGTTGAAATGAAGGAAAAATTTCTAAGGGCAGCCAGAGAGAAATGTCAGGTCACCTACAAAGGGAAGCCCATTGGGCAAACAGCAGATCTCTTGGCAGAAACCCTACAAGCTAGAAGGGAGTC